GAAAAGGACTGGATTTGAGTAACGAAGCTGAGCACAATGAGGTGAGTTGCATTTGCTTATTGTGGGTGTGGGAAACTGAGTTTCGGATTAAGTTCAAACGTTTTATTATTCGGAAAGTGTTCGATGTACGATTTACGGACATCGCCAGTCTTAAAATGTTATTTGTGCAAAAATCACATATACATGAGATCAAAATACGCCCATAAATATTCAATTTATGCGGGAGATTTAAATTCAAAGTTATATTAAAAGTGGTGACGGTGCAAGTGTGCGGTTTGAGTTAAAACATTGTTAAATGCACTGAACAGGTTTTATACAGGGTGTCCCATTTACGAGACTAGCGTATATTATATTTGTAATTGTTAGTGTTGTCAAAAAGTAGTTTCGGTGTCATGTGCTCTTTTCAGGTCAAACGTAAAATTTGGAAAAATTCGCTCGCTTAAAAGATGCAGGGAAAATTTAAAAAATGTTTACTCATAAATTATTACAGAACAATGTGATATAAAAGTCTCAAAATGATTGTTGGATAATTTTTTTAAACGAATCACGCCGTATATTTTAAGCTAAAAAGCTAGCAGTTTAAATTCTCTAGGCAATTTATTGATTTCAATATCCTCGATGCAATAATCTAGCTGCAAAGGCGTTTCGAAATTATTAATTATTAAATTAGCAGGCGGCAAAAAGTTAAATAAATAGGAGGTACATGAAAGCGAATTAAAAAATATAAAAACTTCGCAACGAAATAAAAAGATTCAGATTAGCATTCAAATAACTGAAATCATCGCAAGGGATCGAAAACTCCCTTGTTGTTTTCAATGTTCTCTTGACATCTTTTTCGAGCGGATTTTAACTCCCTTTATATGAGGCTTTTATTTATGCAAAGGCCTAATTGTTTTTGGCTTAAAATGACTTATTAATAAATTTATTTTCCAACATTCCGCAAACAAAAAAAATTTAGGTGGTGGCCACATTATAAATCCATCTGTTTCTATCCAACGGTGGATAGTAAAAAAAAGGATGGTTTAAATTTTCTTCAAAACAGCGATACACCAGTTTATTTTGAAGCAAAATACATCTTTATTTACCTTAAATCCACGCTGGTCTGTCTGCCTCACCTTATGCCGATAAAGAATACACGACTTGTAATTCGACATTCGTCTTATCAAGTGATTGTTTCGTGAAATGAACGGTCCGCGTTGTGAAAAAATTCTAAACCTCCAAATAGATAAAAGGCAAATATGTATACGATTTTTGCTAACTTTAAACTATCTCATCGCGAAAACTTTTACAAATCAAATTTTTACAGAAATTTATTGCGTTCGCAGAAATAAAAGCAACGTTGAAAAGCAGTGAGTGTTTCGGGACCTATTTGTTGCTTTTTCGATGTCTGCCAAAATTCCAAAGAGCGTACACAAGTTTGACGAATTATTAAAAGTTTCAACTTAGCTGCGCGAAAACGACTCAAAATAACTAATTAACCTTTCCGGTATAGTTTGTAAGTATATAGGTAGATTCAGTGTATCGCAGTCAAAACTTCGAAAAAAGGCGTTTCAAAAACTACTTTTAACAAAGTAGGTTTTATCAGAAATTCCAAGCCTCAAAAAAAATAATTTTTCCATGAAAAGGTCGAAAATTTCTTATCATAATATACAGAGTGTCCCGTAAGCACATGATCGAAAGGATACTGCGATATTCGTTTCATTGAAAGACGATCTGACCTAACTTTTATTATCAAAAAATGTCTGGTTTCTCAAAGTTCTTCAAAAAAAATTTTTTTTCAGCTATCGGAAGAATGTATCGTACGATGTATTTTGGTGAAACTCGCTGTGAATGTGTTCTTATGTAAGACTCATGTGTTGATGAAACAATCGAGTTCAGCCGTTTCGCACAAGTGGTAAATTCTTGAGTGTCGTGGTACAAAAACTACCAGAACTTTTTATTTGATGGATGAAATTAACTCATTTTTTTGGTGCTTCACTTAAATCAGTGCAAATCAATTATTCACAATTTTGTGCGCTTTGTAAAATCTTGTAGCATTCATAGTTTTCGCGAAAATAAACATTTCTGTTTCCTTGCCACTTAACAATGTTAGACATTAACTGCAAATTATGAAGGCTTTCACGGCCGGTCAGATTACATTTAGGAATGTTTTCCGGGCTTTGAAGCCGTGCTTTCCGACTAAGTTTCTTAGTCGGAAAGCAAGGGAGATCACTTCGCCCACTGCCTCATCGCCTTTGAAAATGTCCACCGCAGTTGTGGACGAAACGTCAGGAAGAAATTCCGATAGACCACGGCTTTAAAGCCCGGAAAACATTCCTAAATGTAATCGTTTATTTCGTTACGTTTCGGCGAGACAACAGCGCCATCATCTATTATTATTTTTAAAATTTTACACAAACTCATGATTGGTAAAAATCAACGTCCTTTTAGGTCTTTGCCTTCTTGAAAATCTCGAGTTTGTCTGAATCATTTTCTACATTTGCCTGCAAATGCAAAAAGCAAATGTAAAAAATAATTCCTTCAGTGCAAATTTTAAATCTGATGATGGAGCTGTTGTCTCGCCGAAAGGTAATGAAATAATCAAAATTTTTACTTCACACTTTGACTGAAACCCAGGAAAGATAGGAAAAGCATAACAAGTACACGCAGTCAGGAAAATAAATCAGAAATTAGCAAACATTGTTTTGATGGGTGAGCAGAAAATAATGTATGTCAGTTTTTCGTTAGGTTTATTCGGCCCACCTGTCTAAGTTCAGGCGAGATTTCCATTTCCACTTCTCTCAGCTCTCAGTCACTTTAAGATTCACTAATTTTTCGCCTTTCCAGAAGTTTTTCATAGAACTTTTACTTATTTTGTGGAGACCGATAAATTCAATTGCGTTAGCTTGTCAGTCTGACAACTGAATGTCAGACTATCAAATCATCGCGACACTGAAGAGAATTAGCGGGAAATTCAAAATTTAATTAATTGTTAAGGGTTAAAAGGATGAGACCTAGTTTTTAATCGAAACATTTTTTAAATTCAAATTTGTCATAATTTTGTAAGGTATGGTTGCCATCTTTTTCAATTTAAAATTGCGTTTTCTAAAACACAAAATTTTATTCAATTTTCTTGATAGGAATTTAGAATTTCACGTTCGGTTTTCGAGGCTTTGTTGAGTGTTAAGGACTAAAGCCAGTTTTCGATAGTAAATTAAAAAAATTGGCATTTTTTCATAATTTAATAGGGTATGATTCCCATGTTTCTAAATTTAAACTCGCTGTTCCCAAAAAGCAAATTTATTCAATTTTCTGGGTTGGACTTTACATTTTCACGTTCGCTTTCCTAAGATTGTTGAGGGTTATGGATTAAGGCCAGTTTTTGATAGGCAATTTAAAAAATTCAAATTTTTCATAATTTAGTAAGGTACGATTGCCATGTTTCTTCAATTAAAAGCCGCCTTTCTTTTGGCAAGTTTTTGTTAGAAAAACTAGCAAAATACACAGGTGCAAGTGTACAATTTTATTCCAATTTCATTAGAAAACATCCCAGAGCAGTCAGCTTCTCCGCTGGACGATTACACTGAAGGAAAAAAGCAAACAAGCAGTCACTTGACTTTAACGTTCTCTGGATTTCAGCGAAACGACATATTAATGCCCCAAAGAACGTCACCCCAACGTTGAAGATACTAAAAAGTTTTCGGCCTTTGTCGACATCCTTTCCTACGTGTTCTTGGAGAGGAACTGCTCCATAAAAGCAGAGCAGGTCTCATGTTCATTTTACCAATGAGGATTTGAAACATTTCCGTTGCAATTACAGGTGTGAGTTAATTCCGTTTAGTGCGTGGAAAAGTTTATTCGGTCCTTACATAAATTTGCGATATAACTTACAGATCCAAGTCCACTCCTGTGTGACGGCATTTCGCTTATCCTGTTTTATTCGTTTTCGGCCACCTTACTTCTGTCGTCGCTGTATACGGTTACTTAGGAGTTAAGAAGGGTCAACGGATATGCTTGGTCGCGTTTTTTACTATTGAATTTTCGGTGGGACCCCTTTTAAGGCACTGATTTTAACGGAGACTTTCCAGCCTCCAAAATTAGATTGCCATCGGGACGATTTTATTGGTCGTGAGTTAAGAGGATTTCAATTAAATCATGAAGGTTGACTATTCATGCGGCAAAATACAGTTCACACTCACACTCTGTTGAATATTTTAAATTCCTCGCTAAGCAGGCTTCTTGTATTGAATTCCATTCTAGAATCACATCCTTTCAAAGCTTATCACCCCACTTGAGAAACCTCTGATTAACTGGAGATTCATACCAAACCTCTAGCGGACCAATTGAATTACAACGGATGTAGTAAAGTGCCGGGTAAACTATGTAATGGAAACCTGAAGACCATCGGAAAATTAATTAAAACTTAATTGAATAATCAAAGTTCCGAATCCTGGTTCGTTTATACGTGGAATGGCTGGATCTGTCGTATTGCGGAGTTAACAGCCATTTAATGCATTAAGCAGTATTCACTTTTCGTGTTCAACTAGCTCAATTATTCCTAAGGATCGATAATCATCAACACGTTGATGAGGAAATTTACATTAGCCTCTTCTGCCTTTTAACATTTTGCGTTCTTAAGATAGTTAAAAAGCTTCAACTAATTTTAACTAGGCGATCAGGGATTAAAGCACATTAACCAGCCATCGCATCGCGCGCTGGGTAAAATTCGAAAGTTAGTTCAAACGTAGGCATTAGTTAGTTCGTTTCAGTGTTTCAAAACTATTTATTCTCCGCTGTCCTAAAGCAAATGCTTCAATTATAATACGAAGGCCAAACTGAAAACTTCTCCAAACTATGCGTCATTTGGCTGAAAGACATTAGAAGGCTATTGGCATGAAACACACGCATATTTCGGATAGTTGCCAGTTTCGAAACTAATAATCTTCCGTCAGGTATTTGTCTCAAATTCAACAACTATACTGGGTGATTTACGTAGATCATGCATTAGAAGTTTTCCAGTTTGCAGTTGGTTTAGAAACTTCAACTTTGGTTTCCGGTCACAACGAAACATTGATACG